CGAGCGGGTATGCATTCTGGGTCACTGAGGAGGCAACCGGCTCCACAGGATAGATGCTAAAGTACGACCTGGACATACGCCGGCCAGAATTTTGCATGCGAGTCGATGGCCCATTGCGCGCCAGAGTTTTCACGCGCGTAGATTTCGCCCGTCACTTTTCAACACATAAGATTTGTCGCAGCAGTTAGGCGGGAACAATTCAAAAGCTTCAGTTACTAACTGCTAAAAACGATGTGACACATACCAGAAAACTGCAGTTTCTCCTGTAAAAAGCCAAGTTACAGAATTAATTCCCTTCTGTCATATATGACTTGTCTGAGCCCTGTTCCCGTCCGCTGTCGGCGGTCATTGTCCTGACCTGGCAATCCACCACATGACTGCGAACTGATCGCATGGCTGCTTTACTGCATATTTCTGGGTCAGTATTACCAGAATCGCGCCTTACATAACTGCACCTGGACCTGGGATGCCTGGAATACAACCGGAAATAAATCACAGGCTCTCTGAATTCACGCTGGGTCAGTGAATTGTTTCTAAACCGATAAACTGTAGAAGCTTTGTCAAATATTTCATCTGATTTCTACAGACATATGAAGGACCCCCGCAAAGGTGGATTGTAAATCGAAATGGGTGAGCAATATGTACATAACACGGCATGGTGCTCGGTATACAATGTTTTGTCTGTAAATGGTTAACAAGCAATCAAAACCGATGCGTCATACAGCTTATGAGACGTAGTTTTGAACATGCGCGCTGGCAAATATTGGCAAACAAAAACCTCGACGCCAGACGTTGCAGTCTCCATCGGCCGCGCAGCGTTGACCTAGTGGCAACATTGAGCCGCGGCCGACAGGTGAACAAAAACGATGACCCTTCTGAAACAAGTACCTATGAACGCTTTAGGACATCAAATATTACATTTAGAAGATAGTCTGAGCGTATATTCCACCCGTGCGATTTTTAGATTGATGATAAGAACGAATTGACCCTTACAACATCGCGAAGTGGTGCTGGAATCTGGCGGTGGAACTGAAAGAGTAAAGATTCTCTGTGTTTCGTGTTGCTATGCCTGTTTATCTGTCCACAGGCGAGATAAACGCGGCGCCCGCCGCCTGGTGTCCCTTGCAGTGGCCAACACCGTTCGATTTTACGGAAGCCGTAACCCAGACCACCGCTATCCTTGCTCCCGAAACTGCAGGCGCGCATGTTCAGACCTTTTGATGTAACTCTTTCACTTATCGATTTGACGACAGACTGAACGATCTCAAACATTGGATGGCCTTCAGCGTTTTGGAACTAATTTCGACCCGCTCTATTCAATGGCAATGAGACTCATTTTATCTCCTTCCGGGCAAGGGGACCCTTGAGTAGAACACCAGGGGTTCCCGGTTGCGTTCCCTGTTCCCGGTTACGGGCCGAAGGGTCATTCCATCCCATCGTGGGGTGCCTTCCGGCTGCTATTCTAGGGACACGGGGCGGGATTCCCTGGCCGATCCGGAAGCCCTTAGAGGGATACATCAGATCACATTGTTACCCTCCTTGACGCGGGAGCCCTTCTGGCTCGCGTAGTTAGCCCCGGATCAACACGAGAACCCTCCTTTACGCCACAACATCCCTGGTCACCACAGGTGGTCTTATAAGTGCCACATAGACTCCAGTTCCAGATTTTTATGTTCTTCCGAGATGTTGAGAACCCCTGAACGTAGATTATAGATGGAAAGAGTCCCACATTAATATTAGCATGCTCGTTGCCCCATGCTTATGTTCGTCTTTAAATTTTCAACATTCAGTCAGAATTGGTTACTGAGAAAAAATTATAACATGGATTTGAACATGCGTGCTCGTACATCTTAGCAACAGCAGCCTCGCCGAGCGGCGTCGCTGTCTCCGTAGGATGCAAGGCGTCGGCCATGCGGTTGTGACAAAATGACACGCACCTTGAGGAGGATGGCTGGTGAACTAGGTAAATCGCCACGTAAATTTAAGGTAGCACAACAGCAAGCTGGACGTAACTTAAATCTGAAGGAAGAGGGACAGTTATCATTGCCGCCCCCCCCCCCCATGAAAAGTGGCGGCATGGTCCCCCTGGTCCCCCTGGTCCTACACCCTTGGTTTAAAGTGTATGGAGTGAAATGTCGTATATCCAGGAAACTTTCGAACGGTTTTGATAGACCGTATGTGATAACTGAGGTTAGGCGACCGGACTAAGTGACCAGACTTTGCCGAAAGGAACGGCTTGTTCATGGCAGTAATTTGAAGAAAGTGCATGCGCGTGTCAATGACGATGTGGATGCTGCGCCGTGGTTCGCTGCGGCATGGATGCTGGCACCGTACGCTGTGCTGGATGGCGCGAGTGGCGCGCTGAGCCATGTGAGCGCCACGCCAGGCGATGCGAGCACCATACCGTGTTGTGTGAGTGCTACGCCTAACATTGGGAGCGGGACGCGAGACGGTGGAAGTTTCGCGTCCAGGTTAGCAGATCTAAAGACAGATATAGGAGCTGATGGCACCGAGCACGCATCTCTGTGTGTTACCTGTGGTGGAAAACGGATGATGCCGGCTCGCCATTATTCGCCGTGAGGCCGGGTGTAACTTTGGATGTTTGTGTTCAAGGACTGCGGCCGAGTAAGATTGCGTGCGTTGGATTGTGTGTCCGGCAGGTAGTTGAGTTCGTTAGCGACTCTGTGTCAGCGTTGTAAGTTCGGTTAGAAACTAGTTAATCACATTTCTTCCGGTGAGGAGGATGCTGTGAGCGAACCAGAGCTGGTGCCGTGCCAGCTTGTTGGGTTAGTTTGCCACCGACCGTTGGTGGCGCTGCGTGCTCTCCTCTCTCTTCAGCTCGACCTGTGTGACTGGAAGCCTGTCGGCCTGTGTGGCAAAACTGTTCCGGCTTGGTAGTGCTTATTTCGTGAACTCAACGTGAATTATCTGCCAAGAGCTTTACTGAAACGGCCAGTAAAAACCAGAAGACGACACAGTAGTCAACTAAGCCAGGGACGGACACAGGGACGGACGACTTCAGTTCGGCTTAAAGGGCCCTTGGCTGAAATGGGTTGCCCCCCCCCCCCCCGTTCAGTGGCGGGGCCTTTGACCAACAAAAGGCCCTTCCATTGTCCAGTTGTGGGCTCTCGTCGCAATTCCCATATCTCCTTTCATTGTCAGAGGGCTCCAACTAACGCAAGATATGGCATTATCAGAGGTCAGGTCTCATCGCTTCTTAGGAAATGGGCCCTCAGGCCCAGACTGACAAAAAGCCTACTATTCGGTGCTGACGGTCCCTGACCGAGAAAGAGGTCCTTATCGACTCAGGAGGGTCCCAACCTGTGCAAGCGGCCCTCTGACTGGCTTTGAGAGTCCGCCTCTACGGGTCGGGTCCCTCACTATGCGACTTTCCGCCAGCCCTTTAAATCTCTGATGAGGCCTTTTTTCGTCGGTCCCGAGGGTGGAGAAGAAGGGTACGTGCCTCTGTGCCCCGTGCCTGCGTCACGGCCTGCTCCTAAGATTGCGAGCGCGCAGCCCAAAAACTGTTCTATGCAGTTTGTTTCGCAATCCAGTTCAATGAAAGAGTGGACTTCTTCGGGAAAATATGGGCTAACCTGTTTATTGTCCACCTAATTTCCATCCACCGTACTGAACATTAAAAACTGAACGTTGTCGTTCCCGGTCAGGGTCTAAAGGGCCATTCCATCTCAGCGTGGGGTGCCTACCAGCTGGCGGTACGGGGCGGGTCCTTTAGCATTTTCCTAGGCCATTAAAGCGATGCATCATACATTGATCCTCTCTCTGACGCTGAAGGCCCTTTAACCTGGTCAGTTGGGTCCGGATCGACGCAAAGACCCTAATTGATGCAGTGTGCCGTGTGTACGCCGAGTCGGCCGGCCGATACGTGTGGGCCGTCTCCGCCCAGTCTGGCTGCGGGGTCAGCTGACTGCCGCCCGGACCGGCCGGCACCGCGGCAGTGGGGGAGAGGAGAGGCGGGGGGGGGGGGGAGGGGGGCGCAGGGAGGTACCATTGACGTTTTGAATACAGTCAGCCGCGCTCGTCTTTGTTTCGTCATCTTACATGCAAAAAGGTCCCCTATCGCCACAGGGGGTTCCATAATCAACACAGACGCCGTGTTGAAAGTTTTAAGTCAAACCTTTTCATTAGATGGGTTTCTGGGATTAGAGCGCACGTTAAATGGAGCATGCCACACGTGTATCGATTTTGAACTGGGATAGCCATTTTGCAGAAAACTCAGTGAAGTTCACAACCCATCCCTTTGAAAGAATCAGAACTATGGTTTCTGAGCCCGACACCGGTCAACTTGACCAGACTATTTGAAAGTCGCGAAGGCATGCATAATGACCCCTAATCCAGCGCCACCTTGGGAATATCCTGGATCGCATCTGGATCGGACTGCATCATTGCAGCCATGTGCGGTATTGAGCTCAGTCAGCGGATGAGACGGCATACTGTAGTCAGAACTCACCGCGGCCAGCGCGCGATCAGCAGACAGCCCTGGAAAATGGGAATTGTGCTCTGTCCCAGAATGGCCACGGCCTTTCGAGCTGGCATTAGGACTGGGCTCAAGACTGGCCTCTTCGACCTGGCTGGTCGCTTCGCCTCTCCAGCACATTTTTTTTGCCATGAAAACTGGAAGCACATTCAGTGACGACAAAAACTGCGCAGGTGCGACGATTCTCTCCGTTTTACGCGAGGAGATTTATACCGATTTTCGCCTTGAGGTGTGTTTTGTGCCTCTTGTGTGAGAACGACAGAATACTAGTGACTAGGTACACAGAATTTAACTCCCTCTCCTGATATCTTTTGTCCTGAAGAGTAGCGGAAAATTACACCAAGATTGGTATTTGAAGGCAGCCGTAAAGTGGCATGTTGTGACCGGACAGATGCACTTCATGTGATCTAATATCAGTCTAATTGATAGCGGGTGAATACGTCATCTTTTCTGTAATGCAGATCAAGTGAGCTTGCTGTAGAACTAAATGATGTTCAATTTTCTGAATTTCATCTTCAAGTGAGCAGCAGCAGCACTGCTGTAGAACCACATGATATTCAATTATCTGAATTTCATCTCGAAGGGAGCATCAGTGGTGTAGCCAGAATTTTGCCCAGAAGGGGCTTAAAGGAGATCATAGAAGGCTGATTCAATCAAAGAAGCTCTTTTTCATCTTATAGTTTTTGGATAAGATGACTTCTTAGCCTGAAGATCCTGTTTTGGCAATGTGGGCCCAATTTCATACATTAGAAACTCTAGATGGATGGATATCCACCTCCTTTTTATTCATGCACCCCAAAGCTTGTCCATGGCCTTGTCACTGGTGAGAAGGCAAAAGTACCAGGCTTTCAACCAGTAGAGCAGGTGATTCGAGCATGACAGGAGGCATGGCATTGCTAGTTTCCATGAAAACTGTGTATGTTTACAGTTCTTCTTATGGCCTATTGAAGGCATTTTGGCTAGCAGCTCCATTTCACTGACTTTTTTCAATGCTCTCCCTTTTCACCTTGTTGCTAGGGCTCAACTAGATGCATCTGTACAAGTAAAGCATCTGCTTGTTATATTCCAGTGCCCTCATCCCTGGCTATCTTTATATGACATATATGTTATTTACCATGATATGAGGGCTGAAAGATTTTGACATTGAAACATTAGATATGCAAACATTAGATATGCATATATTAGCTCACATAATGTCTGTTTTTTTAAGGGGAAAGGGCTGCTCAAGGTAGCATAATTTGTCTGTTTAGTAAATATGCTCTTCAATATGTCATTGCTTGATTGCATCATCACACCTTGCACAACATTGACTGAGAGCCAGTTGATGGCCATTGTATCTGGAAATTGTGTTCATTAATACCAGATATGAATAACTGTACAATGATCATTTTCTTGGCCTTGATTGCTGGGTGGCCAGCTGAAAAGGAGGATTTGGATTGGGCTGTTATGGTGTCATGGATGCCTGAATGACCTTCAAATAGTCTCCCTGAAAAGGTCTGCATATCTTAGTGGCTATTAGGCTCAGATATTAGAAGGGTTTAGGTCTTCAGAAGGACAGGAATCTGAACTACACTGAAAAATTTCAAGATGATTGTTTCAGTTTGAAACCCCATTCAACTGTGGAGCACTTCCTTTAAATGAAATGTTTCACATATGAAGATATGGAAGCAAGCATCAGATATGATGAAATAAGCTCACTTTTAATTATTGGTACACTTTTAGGTGCAAGACTGCTCAAGACAACAAAATTCACTTTTTAGTTAACATGCTACTAATGCATCATTGTTTGATTGCATCATCACATGTTGGTTTGACATTGGAGTAGCTGCCAAATTAACAATGCAAAATTGCCACCATAGCAGACAGACTCCCACTTATAGTACTTCCACTCGTCAGGAGCCATGCTGGTGGGTGGGTTGTTTACAGGGCCCACACAGGAGGACATGGGGCTCCTGAAAAGAGCATAGGGCCCTCCATTCAAGTAGTAAGTACCCAATACCTAATGCGGGGCCCCCGAATGATCAAGTGCGCTCGGACAGGTTAGCAGATTGGGCCCTGACAAGAGCGAAGGACCCTCCGCAGGTGTCCAGAAATTGAAAGGGCCCTCCATCATTGGAGAGGCCCATGCGCATGTTGCATATCACAAGTGTTTCAGCAGGTTAACCAAGACCAGTATGAAAGACCAATGTGAGGGGCACGTGTATATGCCATGGAATCATGGCTGTTGTGGTTATACAACAGGTTCAGCGATAACGGATCCATTTGTAAGGTTTTCTACGATGTGTTTTCTCTGACTAGCGTCCCATTCTGAGATTTTCAAACAAAAGTGGCTCACATTAATGTGAAATGGGAAGTCATTCCTTTGCTGGAGGACAATTTTTCATCCACAAATTTCAAAGGTTTTTACATTGAGGACACAAATTCAAGTAACCTAAATCTGGGCAGAAATAAGCTTTTGTGGGCAAGATAGGTCATCTTTTCCAGATAAGCTCCCCACCCCAGCCAATTTTAGAGGGTTACCCATTGTTACCCATGCTTGTAAGGATGTGTCTGTGAATCTTTTTAGGTGGGAATAAAGGTGGGAAATGTACATAACATTGTAATATTTTTATCTTTCATTGTGAAACTGCATAAACTGATGATGATGATTGGGATTTTAGGGCGCATCGACTTCTTGGGTCATTTTGCGCCCATTGCATAAACTGTATGCACATAATTTATAGGATGGTAATTGTGTTATAGAGGCAATTAAAACTACTAGTGATTTGTAGTTATGCATGGGTTTGGCTAGGCAGAACACAAGGGTCTCTCAATATGTAAGTGTTGTGACAATTGCCACTTTTGATAAATGTGATACTGTCTTTTCAGGTTTTTCAACCAGGCCTCTGCATCATGGCTCTTATGTGTGGGTTCAGGAGGTTGCATTCTTTGCAAAGTAAGTCTGCAAGCCGAAGTTAGTTGAAATGAATTGAGTGGGCACGTCTGGAGTGCTTCAGTATTGTCATTTCAGTGTCATTTGTCTGATTTCACAGTACAGGTGCATAGAAAAAATCAGCATGTATTCAGATTTGGAAAGGTGTCATGCTGCTATCCAAAGGGGAACAGGTGTGAGCGATAAGATGTATGCATTTCTGCACTTTACATCGCATGATGCAAAGAAGATGTCTTAAACAATCTCTTATAACACATCTCCCATGAGATTACCACAAAACAGTGTATCATTGCTTAAGCAACCAATGTCTGGTCCAACCCAGAGGCCTTAGCTTGCACCTCCCTACCAGACCGGCATATGTGCACCGACTCACTCAGCCAGCAGGGGTCTGACTTGCCGGCTGGTGCCACAGGGCCGGCTTGCGTGGCGGCGCCGTGGCTGAGCAGCCGGGCGGTGCTGCGGCCGCTGACGGCCGGCCGGCCACTGCGCGCCACCGAGCTCGAGGAGGACCACGTGAAGCACTGGAACGCCGAGCGGCTGCTGTCCGTCGGTCTGCTGGGCGTGGTGCCGGCCGCCTTCATCTTCCCCAGCCCGGCGCTGGACTACGCGCTCGCGCTCTCCGTCGTCGTCCACAGTCACTGGTCAGTTTCCTGTTACCTCCCTCCGTGCAGGCTTTAGCTCTGTGCTACGCCGCTTGTAGGTGCCTTTCTCTATGAGGTGTTGTTTGGGGCCTTCCGGCCCCAGACTCTGTGTGACATTGGCTCATGGCTGCTGCCCATGCGTGCGAAGCCGTCGGCCAGGCTGACAGCGTTTCGTGGTTCACTCCAGGGGCATGGAGGCGATCGTGGCCGACTACATGCGGCCCAAGCGCGTCGGCAACGTGGTGCCCAAGGTGACGGTGGGCTTGACCTACTTCCTGTCCGCCTTCATGCTGGGCGGCCTGTTCTATTTCAACTACACGGACGTGGGCCTGGTGCAGGCCGTCAAGATGCTGTGGCAGGCCTAGCCGGCCGGTGGCGAGCCTGACCGACGGGCCAAACGGAGCGCCCGGGGGACGGGGGACGACACGTCTGGCATCGGGCGCCCACCCGCCGCGCGGCCGCGTCCTCCGGAGCTTTACCGTGCGCCTGGGCGGAGTGGCAAACACGGCGGGAATTTCTCAACCGTGTTGTGCGTGTGTGATGGAGTTGACATTGTGTTTTGTGTGCGTGCGCAGGATCCCCAGTAATGGGACTCGTGATCTGGTCCAAACATGAGGCAGTTTAGCTTGCTGTTAGTCTTCACATGTGCTGTCGCCACCTCAGCGGTGAGATGTCGCCTTTCTGTTCATGGATTATGAGCGCCCGCAAAAGAAGCTGCTGAGTGTCCTGGATTACGCGCTGTAGCAAGCGGAACCAGTGTATAGCGTATACAAGGTGTTTTATCTAACTTCGACACCGCCATGTTAGCTGCTGATATTTCACTTCTCGGCGGCGCACCGCAACGTTAGATGCACGCGCAGCTGTTTGATTGGCAAGCACAAGCTACGTGAGTCAGGTGCGAGTTTTCAGTATATGGTCCCGCTCTGCACGCAGGCAGATTCGGCCAGGCGCCGCTCAGATCCGACTGACCCAGCACCACCACGCCAGTGCTACCAATAAATGACGGAACACGGGACGCTGATGCTGTTACGCCGTAATCGGAGTTTAAAGTCATCAACGCCGGTTCGGCCCCACAACATCCGCTATTCCAAAGAACGCCAATTTTTCGGCGAAGGCGAGTCAACGTCATTTCGTAAAGATGAAATAGTTGCGGAAACTACTGATTCGCTTCGTGATGTCCACCATAGAACGGCCTCACCCGTGTACGGTTCCTGGCAAAATCTCGCTGACCTTCGGGTAAGTGATCTAGTCTGATTTGGTATTGCTGTTCAGCGAGTAACTGGCACTGAATTGTTTGCGTTTCAGTAGAATCGGCACCTGCGCTGTCCCCAGGCGTTGGTTAGGCCACCGTGCCATCATGCAAAGATCGCGATCGATACATCAAGTACATGTTCGTCATGGCACAAGTATGGATTTGAGTACCAAGTATGATTGAACTTTTGTTGCAGTTCCATCACGCGCACAAAGCAAAAGAGTTTGGAGTTCAAACTCTGGAGTTTGCTTTTCGTTGTTCATTAGGCGTATTCCGGCGCGGAATGTCTTTCATGAAATGAACTAGTTCCATGAATTTTGGTAAGTTGAAAAAACAATAAAACCGCTGCCGGATGCCACCAGCTTAATGCTGTTTTGTTTGAGCCAGCGACAACCGTACCAACGCACGAGGCTGACCATGCAATGTATGACATTTGGTACACTGAAGTCAACCTAGGTCCAGCCGGATTGGAACCGCCTCCTCCCCTTGCCTTTCGGAGGTGTGGTGTCGGCCCACTGTGATTTTTCTTGGCTGAGGTGCGAGCCTCCCGGCCCACGACCGGAGCTCAGATGAGGCTTCTGACATGTCTGAGCACCACAGAACAGGTCACAAGGGCCATGCCATCCTCCCGGCCCATGACCGGAGCTAAAATGAGGCTTCTGACATGTCTCGAGTACCACAGAGCAGGTCACAAGGGCCATGCCATCCTCCCGGCTCATGACTGGAGCTAAGATGAGACTTCTGACATGTCTGAGCACCACAGAACAGGTCACAAGGGCCATGCCATCCTCCCGGCTCATGACCGGAGCTACGATGAGGCTTCTGACATGTCTCGAGTACCACAGAACAGGTCACAAGGGCCATGCCATCCTCCCGGCTCATGACCGGAGCTACGATGAGGCTTCTGACATGTCTCGAGTACCACAGAGCAGGTCACAAGGGCCATGCCATCCTCCCGGCTCATGGCCTGAGCTCAGATGAGGCTTCTGACATGTCTGAGCACCACAGAACAGGTCACAAGGGCCATGCCATGTCGCTGACAGGACCAGTCAGTGTGCGATAGTCAGGAGTCGGGACCAGTCAGTGTGCGATAGTCAGTCAAGAGTCGGGACCCTTTGCAGCATGGGAACGTATTCGCCATACAAGGATTCCAAACAGCAAAGCGACATTTTCAAGCGAAGAAACAAAATGCATGCTAAGGCACGCAAAATCAGCGTCATAAGCCGCGCATTGCCTTCAGGTGACCTTGCGCCACTCTTTGAGTACGGATAGTAGCTCGCGCGCACGGCTGCGGTCCCGTTTCTAATGGTGGCACATTGGGAGCGGAATCGGCAGAGGGACGCAGCCCGAATGATATCCGTGAAGCTAGCGCTTCATTAAGCAACGAGATTCGATTTCGCTGATAAGGCGTCAGATGTTAAATTAGGGGATGAGGACACCGTACCTGACATGCGTTTTAGCAATATCACTTGGCTGTCATGGTCTAATGTCGGGAACTCCATATAGCCCAAAGTTTCGTCCGATTTCAAATTTTTAGATATCAGAATAATCACCAGCCCAAAAACTAGCGTCCGTGAAAAATTCTGAGCTGTCAAGGTTAGCCTTTGAAGTCGAATTCAGGCTCAAAGGACCGGGAGGTTCACATTACGGAAGAATCAGAGTTTTATATTTCGAATTCTTGGGCACCAGAATCGTCTTCAGCAAATGAACTAGCGTTTGCCATGAAATTCTGTCCTCAAGGTCATCCGTCAAGGACAAATACAGGCTGAAATGGCTGGGAGGCCCAGGATTCCTAAAGGTTGCCGGCCGGCTTTTAACAAACTTAACATTTCGCCGTTATGTCCGGGTAAGGCCTGAACACCAACGTGCAATTCGGTCAAGAAAGCTTTGATTTGAAGTTTTAAGGGTGACTTTGAGAGATAAGGACTCTGACGAACAACAGTTCATGAGCTAGTGAAAAGTCTGATGCTTGAGCGCGTGTCACGCGCTCAAGTGGGGTGGGGGTCAAAATGACCCCTCGCCCTCGAGGGCTTTTCCGGAGTGGCTTCCGAACAGCGCGGTGTAGTCGCGCCAAATTTTGCCTAGTTGTAGGCAATTGAATAGCGGATCGTGTGATACCAAAAAATTGGATGTACCTTGTAAGGTCGCTAACCTGCGACAGGTCAAAGTTAGGCCATGGGTTCTGCTAAGTCAATTTCTAGGGAGTGGCTTAATTTTATGGAACAATGGAGCATTAGACATAGCCATACATCTCTGAGATACCTTCTTAGACAACACAACAATTGAATGAACAAATCCAATTGACCTAGGGTCAGATATGAAGGGCAGGCCAGGGTCAAAACAAACCTGTTGTATTGCTTTAGGACTTGCTGTGTGGGTTACTTTTTGCTGCTCATTTCGAATTTAATGATAACAGGAACTTTATTAGCATCTTACATGGACTTCTCATAGCTCATAAGTCACTGACCTGAAATGACGCAGGTCAACGTTTTGCTTTTGGGAGCATACTGCCTAGCATAGTCCACGTCGCTTGTTCAAATGCAAAACTTAAAGTATTCCTCAATTATTTTTGTCACCGTAACCTTTGAAAGGTCAAACACGGTCGATAACCTTGAATGCGCATGTGACCTCTTGCTTAGAACAGGTATCTAGGTTCTGGGGACACTTTGCAGACCAACTTGGAATTCGACCTTGTTTAATCTTACTTAACCCGAATGTCATGACCTAGGAACCTCAAACTTTGGTCTAGATGAATTCACGTATAAGCCAGCACACCCTATTAATTTGATGTCTGTAGCTTCTCTAGTTCCTGATATCTCAGGGGAGGGTCAAATTACCCTCCCCCACCCGAACGGAGCGCATCTAACAGACCACCCGGGCGCGTGTTAAGAATCCGAAATCGTCCGGTAACTTTCGATGGGTGTGAAATTATCTGTCCTGTAAGCCTCATTTGGAGTTAATGCTCCGCCTTGGTGGATATTCTGATGCTTAAAATTTGAAATCGGCTGGCGACTACGCGTGATGAGTCTCTCAGTCGTTTGAGATTGGAAGTTCACCTTCGATGATGACCTTGAGAGGTCAGGACAGCTTAGCAGTCGATATATTATGCGTCGAATACGATTCTGATGCCTAAAAATCCGACACTGGCCAGATACTTTTGGGTTAAGTGGATTTCCCACCATTTGATGTTTAAGAGTGACCTTAAGAGGTCAGGACTTACCTACTCTGATTTTGAAAAATCCGAAATCGGCCGTTAACTTTTGGGTGATAAGCAGTTTTCGCGTCTTTTGAGCCTGAATGTGCGCTAGTAAGGCAAACTTTAGGAGAAGTGTTTTTCGCGCCACTTGACCGTGAAGGGTGGCCTTGAAAGGTCAGGACATCGTTAAAGATGCCAGTCGATGCGCTAGTGATTACTCTGTTTACAAATCTGAAATCAACCGGCAGCTTCCTTTAACATGGAGTTCCTCGTCCTGGACGTGACCTTGAAGGTCACGCAATGCTCCAGTCTGACACGTTTTCGGTGAAAAAGGAAGAGATCGCGCTAAAGAAATCGCTAACTTCGCAGATATGCCCGATGCGGTAGAAGGTGGAGACACAAGCAAAGCCGGCGATGGCAAGTCCGACATGTTTGCTTAGGAATGTACTAAGCACTATACCGTACTCTTGGAGTGCAATCTCGAACTCGTTTAAAGCAAAATATACAATCCGCCACGTGCACGTGAAGCACTGGACCACGTACTATAATTTATTCAAGTTGCGGGGTGTAGCCAGGAGTGTGCGGCATACTTCTGATAGATGCACAGTCTCAGAGTGGACCTGCTATCGATAAACGTCCTGAGCACATTAAGGGTCAAATACAATTGTTTTCATCTCACTTTACACCCAGCAGTCGCGTTATGAGAGGATCATTCTCAAGCTCGTAATATTTATATCTTCATGAGCCAGCTGACGTGGGCCAGCAAAGCGTAGGGCGCGTGTCATGCTTCAAGAATCAGAAGAAAAAATAACGAAATTAGTCATTTCCACACCGCACTATCCGAAGCGCCAAAGCTTCCGCCTAAAATTAAGCAATGGAATAACGTTAATCCGGGTAGCTTCCCCACGCCTTATACTGACGTAAACACGAGCGATAAATGTATCGAAATGTATTACAAAGAGGAAGACCAATGCACCGGAACGAGCTCGACATGCGATAAATTACATACTACTAGATCCACACCACCCGACACATGGCTTGAACTAAGTAACAATCCACCCGGCTGTCCACTGGCATCGTCATTACTTCACCGCGTCTACCCGTACACATCGCGCCTAACAGAAGAGAGTGCATGACAACAGCGCGCCACACTGTCCGTCCCCCGTCCGGCCCCGTACGCAGTCGGACAGTGCCCATGCTTGGACACCGATTTTAGAGTGCTGCCTCCCTCGCCATGGCGGTGGGAGGACACGCCAGCCGCCTCAAATGAGCCGAGTCTCGGAATAGGGAGACCGGCCGCTGGCGTCCTGGTCACGAGACGGATGTAACACCGGCCACGAGACGGACGTAACACCAGGCCACGGGATGGATGCGACATCAGGTCACGACACGGACGTGACATCAGGTCACGAGACGGGCGTGACACCAGGCTACGGGACGGACGTGACACCTCAGGCCACGGGACGGACGTGACACCAGGCCACGGGACGGACGTGACACCAGGCCACGGGACGGACGTGACACGTCAGGCCACGGGACGGACGTGACACCAGGCTACGGGACGGACGTGACACGTCAGGCCACGGGACGGATGTGACACCAGGCCACGGGACGGACGTGACACGTCAGGCCACGGGACGGACGTGACACGTCAGGCCACGGGACGGACGTGACACGTCAGGCCACGGGACGGACGTGACACGTCAGGCCACGGGACGGACGTGACACCAGGCTACGGGACGGACGTGACACGTCAGGCCACGGGACGGACGTGACACCAGGCCACGGGACGGACGTGACACCAGGCCACGGGACGGACGTGACACCAGGCCACGGGACGGACGTGACACGTCAGGCCACGGGACGGACGTGACACCAGGCTACGGGACGGACGTGACACGTCAGGCCACGGGACGGACGTGACACCAGGCCACGGGACGGACGTGACACGTCAGGCCACGGGACGGACGTGACACGTCAGGCCACGGGACGGACGTGACACCAGGCTACGGGACGGACGTGACACCAGGCCACGGGACGGACGTGACACGTCAGGCCACGGGACGGACGTGACACCAGGCTACGAGACGGGTGACGTCCAAAGTCGCTGAGGCGGTGTGCAGAGCCGGTCCCGCTGCCCGGCCAGAGCAGGTTCAGCCCGGGTCAGCCTGTCCCGCTGCCAGGCCAGAGCGGGTTCAGCCCCGGGGCAGCTGCTGAAGGGTGACGGCGTGGCCCGCGCCGCCCGATGCCGCGCAGCTAGCGGGGCGGCGCGCCCCGGGGAGCCAACGCCCCGACACAATGGTGCAACCACCCCGTGCAGACGCAGAATAGACTGAAAGGCGCGGTAAAACCGTCCCTCCTTGTTATAAACGGCTATAAATGGCGCCCATCGGCACAACGACGCATATGAACATTGTCTCCCGCTGAGTCAAGTTCAATGTTCGCCCGTAGCCAACATACCGACTTGACCTGCAGGACCTAAAATCGATGTGGTCTCGCCTGCCTCGTTGCCAACACAGAAACAATCTAGGCTACTAAAACAGCGCAATAAATTTTTGAAATCGGCTGTGTTTATGTCACAGACTTTTATCGTCTGGATCGGAAACCGCTTGGGACCAAAACAACCCAAACGTGGTCTGAGTCAGCATTAAACATGGGCTAAATTTAGACCTAAATTCAGCCGGAACATAAACAGCAGGGTTGCACATGGAGCCTGGCATTCTTCAAATCGTTTAAAACAGTAACGATGCGTTATAACCACGCGGCTATCGGGCGCTAACGGTGCGAACATGTCTTCACACCGGCGGTGGCAACTGGGCTTGTTCTTATGAAAAGTTGCATAACGCTTAACAACAATAAAACGCTCTAGCGTCGGTGGGGAGGAATACTAAGTGCGCCGAGCATCGTGATCCACGTCACGTATTCTGTAACCAGCAACAGTAACACGTCCCATATTCAGCTATGGACTGCCTCACCAGGCGCGATAACACACATCACGAGTCTAGCAACAGCCAAAGCACGATCAGTAACATGCCCATTCAGTAAATTTCTGGCCGGGCCGTGCCACGTTGCCCAAAAAGGCAAGTCGCGTGCCCAACAAAAGTCAAAACTACATTTAAAGATTACAATGAAATTGCAAAAAGACAGTAACTCTTGACTGGTCATGGGGGTGAGTATTAGTACATTCCCGGGGGTTCAATCCCTCTCAACCTGAGCATGGTACAGGAGACAACTCGTAAATCTAATAATAAATTAGTTATAAATAACTATGACCAAAAAGTCTACATGTGACATAACCTGTCAAGATATGACCCGGTTCCCATCGCGACCGGCACCATGTCCCGAATACGTTTTATCCCGAAACATCAAACAACGGCGCCCTCTTGCTAAACAAAGCCGCCGCCAGACCAGAAGCCCCCTCCTCTCGGAAGTGCAGCCAGGCCGAGCCAGGCCGGGCCGGGCGCCGGGGCCCGGGCATCGGCCGCCACCTGGCCGCGCGCGCACTAGCCGGCCGCGCCGCCGTCCTGCTGCCAGCGAGCGAATTCGTGCAGCGCGCTCCACTGCTTGGGCCCGAGCAGCACGTGCGGTCGGTGCGCGCGGATGTGCTCCACGGCCCGCTCGGCGCTCCAGCGGTGTCGCTGCGGGCGACGGCGCTTGTCAGCAGCCACGGAGGGACGCCGGGCGCACTGGAGGCGTGTAGCGGCGCTCGACGGCGGACAGCATGAGCAGCAGTGAGTACCACTGCTGTCCATGTTTCAAAGAGAGCCAAAAGTAAGGCGGCCCGCAGCCCAGAGCATGCAGTGGGCTAACAGCGCCTACATGACATACACTAAGCCGCAGTTCTCAATGGCCATTGCCAACGGCTATACGGCCCAAGAACTGTCGACATGTACATGGCGTATGCATGCCTCTGGTGGCTGGGGATTCCGATGACCTGACTTCGAAAAAAACATCGGGGACAGACACCGAAAACTGGGTGGAAAGTTTAGGACATTCAATAACGTTCTCGGCCCGCACAACATGCCGGTAGCGGTCCAACCGCAGCTTTATTGCAGGCACTGCGAGGCGTGGTTCAGGCCACGAAATCCACCCAGACTGATCGTACAACTGCAGCAAAATTGGCTCACGGAACGCACAAGATGAAAACAGCAACACAAGGCGAGACAAACTGGACATACCCGACGGCTGGGAACAGCCACCTAGGAGCTCGCAATCGCATGAGGTAGCAGCCGACAAGGACGGAGTGGACGGAGTGGGCAACTGCATGAGGTAGCAGCCAACCAGGACGGAGAAGACGGGGTACGCACCTGCATGAGGCATCAGCCGACCGCGACGGAGTGGACGTACCGTGTAAGGAAACGTAGTGGGCAACTGTATGAGGAAGCGACCGATCACGACGGAGTGGGCGGAGTGGGTAACTGCATGAGGTAGCGGCCGACCAGGACGGAGTGCACGGGGTACGCACCTGCATGAGGTAGCGGCCGACCAGGACGGAGTGGACGGGATACGCACCTGCTTGAGGCAGCAGCCGACCACGACAGAGCGGGCGGGGTACGCACCTGCATGAGGCAGCAGCTCACAAAGACGGAGTGGACGGGATACGCACCTGCATGAGGCAGCAGCTCGCAAAGACGGAGTGGACGGGATACGCACCTGCATGAGGCAGCAGCTCACAAAGACGGAGTGGACGGGATACGCACCTGCATGAGGCAGCAGCTCACAAAGACGGAGTGGACGGGATACGCACCTGCATGAGGCAGCAGCTCACAAAGACGGAGTGGACGGGATACGCACCTGCATGAGGCAGCAGCCGACCACGACAGAGCGGGCGGGATACGCACCCGCATGAGGTAGCAGCCGACCAGGACGGAGTGGACGGGATACGCACCTGCATTAGGTAGCAGCCGACCAGGGTGGCGCTGCGCGTGCGGCCGGCCTTGCAGTGGACGTAGACGGTGTGCCCGGCGGCGCGGTGCTGGAGGATGAAGCCGACGCCCAGACGCAGCTTCTCCTGACACGGCGCCACGAAAATGTCGGTGGTGCTCAGCTGCAGGAAGTCGACGCCGTGCTCCTCCCACTCCTGCCGCGAGCATCAGCAGCACGCTGCAGCAAATACCACCAACGGGCGCCGCAGTCGCCGGTCGGCAACCAACGTCACATAGCTATAATAGTCAAACAGTCAAAAAGTCAAAGCCATCAAATCTATGCTTGTAGTGTGTGCTAAAAAATGTCACTAGCACCCGGCGAAGATCTCCGTTTCAAAGCGCAGAGTGATAACACGTGATAGGTGCAAGGCAGTCGATGGCATGTCGCGATTTCGTCTGACGTAGCGTTAGGCCAGCTATCGGTGATAAGCTGATGACAACCATTCTATGGCCAGCAAACAGGAGAAAGGACCTAGATGTTACAGACCACACCTGCGATCAATTTAGAGCAGAGTAGTGAGATTGGTAAGTTTCGCATAAATTCTCGCTAAGGCCGAAAATCGTGCTGACGAAGAAAGAGACCAACTGGATTTGTTATGTTACCTGCTATGCTGAACCAGTAGGTGGTATGCATTGGCACAAGCGTGCAGTCAGAATGTCTTTCACAGTGGGTGTAAATTTTTTGTCTTCTATTTTCAGAATTCCCGCGAGTTTAAATCAAATCCCTGTGAAATCGCTGTTAACCTCTTGGCTAAAGGGAAGGCATCGCCCGCGCGGACCTCCACCCCCTGGCAATGTGCCTGCATCAGCAGAATAAGCGGAAGGGTCAAACTAGACCACACCATCTTTGCCTATATGTTGGCATCTTCCTATAACGATAAATTGGAGAAATAGTCGCGTGTGTGAAGATGACTGCTGTTGTCTATCAGTAAATGCATGTCAACACTGTTATGACCATAAGGCCATGGCTGTGTGCATATTAAAACAAAGTGATCATGCTTTGATGAGGTCTAAGCAGTAAGCCATAAGATTTTCACATTTTTCTGTACCCCCCTCTCCCTCTCCCTCTCCCTCTCCCTCTCCCTCTCTCTCTCTCTCTCTCTCTCTCTCTCTCTCTCTCTCTCTCTCTCCCTCTCTCCCTCTCTCTCTCTCTCTCTCTCTCTCTCTCTCTCTCTCTCTCTCTCTCTCTCTCTCTCTCTCTCTCGATTGGCAGTGCTAGTGGTGTGGAAGCAGCCTTAAAGGGACAGAATGAACATGATTGTTACAGGGATGAGTTTAGACCTCTAGTCTATGCATCTTTTTGAAAGTTTGGCTAGCCCAGAGCTATGTGAGGGTCACTGTCCCAGTCTCTGATATCATTCACTATGGAGGCTGTTCTACTCCGACACTGGACGATATTACACAAGATATCACAAAATACAACTTACCTTTTGCATGTTGGACAGAAACCTGAGTTCATAGTCTTCATTCATTGATACAACAGCTTTGATGTGCTCTTCTTCAACAAGCTGTAAAATCAAATAAGTTATACATGCTGACTGGAAATGATGTGGCATGCTATTTTCAATGAGATGGTACCACTAAAGGACTGCTGTAAGTTATCTTACATATGGTGGGAAGTGTGCCATTTCCTAAATTGCCCTTTTGTATAGCACTGATAGTATGACTACCTTCTTACTCATTTGCAAAGAAATAAGCTGTTTTTTATATTCACAGCATACAAAGTGAACAATTTATGTGCAGAATGGGACAGGAACCAGACTGCAAAAAACACCCTACCATGGAACATATCTGTATAGCAGCCATGTCCTGCAACAATTTCAGCACATGCGTACCATGAATCAGAGCCCAGGTTTAGTATGCAGTCACCACCAATTTTGCATGAGTCAATTTTTCAAGGATTTAGTGTTGCTACAAAAATCATAAGCATAAATGGCCCCTGAAAATTCTTTTTTAAGCAGATTGTTTGCACATTTATGACCATTTTGCATGGCAAGGTCTGTGCTTGGAACACATCCTCTATGTTATACAGCCTTCATGTAAGCATCCAGCACAGTGAATTGATGCTTTGCATGCAAGGCCAGCAAGTTTTATTGGCTAATTGAAGGTGCATTAAGCCTTTGATAACATATCTCACACATAGAAAAGCTTAAAGACATGCTTGCCACCTGTGACATGTATGAACAAAACAATAACCCATCATGTTTAACTTAAAATTTACACCAGTCTCGCAGAACCATGGCAGGTTCTGGCAAGACCTTGTTGGAGCAGATGTTGGTCACAACTCCCAGTTTTATAGTAAACTGGCACCATCTTACATTACAACACCACATGCTATAGCATATGTTATATAATTTTGGGGGCAAAAATGATGAAATTGGGCTATTCAAGGGATTATGGCTTTTATAACATACAACACCGGTACCATCACATGATGTAACATCTGAAGGTAAATCCTGTTTTGAGTTAAAAATTATCCCAAATCAAGCCTTTCATTTTAATTTGCTTTTGAGGCAGGATTCTATCTACCCAAAACATCAGCCATGGTTTGCAGACTGGGTCTCATGTATGCCAGAACCATCTAACATCAATTTTCTATGAGGCAAATGGAGTTGATTATTTTCATTCCAAATATCACCAAAATACTATTGATGCATCATAATTTTCAACCAATGCTAAGAATTTTCTGACATATTGCTCCAGGTAAAATCTAATGCTGGACATTGTTCCCAATGGTCTCACCTGCTTAGTCATGTGGCGGAATGGTAGGGCTCCAAGAATAACAGTATCATCCACCCGGTCCCACCATCTTCTGCTAGACAGCCTTTGCATGAAGACATTGTATGCCAGCGTAGGAAGGAACGTCGCCCTCGCAAACATTTTCCAGCCAGCTGCTTGCACCCAACCTCTTCCACCGTTGGAACTGCAATGAGCGGAGCCTTTATTCGGCTGCATTGGCTTGAGTTCAAAGGTTAGGTTGCTGGTCGATGTCCCCTGCACGCCAATAAAGGCCCCTTTTTAGCACATACGCATCCGCATCCAACCGCGTTTCAGGCCCTCTAAGATTGCAACGATTGTAATGAACCCCAAGCGCGTTCACCCTAATATTTACACTCACGCCTTCCCTCTAAGCAGCCTGACACGTATCCTGCGTTGGAACTGTACTTATCGCGTATTATTTAGCGCAGAAGCCCGGCATCAAATATTCGCTTCCAATTCAGTTTTTCCTTTCTCTAAGGTTATTACTTGAGCTATTTCTTCATCTGAATGGTGCTGCCTTTGATGCAGAGGTGCAGTTTCCGGAATCAGCTCCTGTAAGACCACGTTCGGAAGGCCTTTTATCCGGGAGACCTGTTCCCGAAGACCTACCTCAGCAGTGCCTATGCGCTGAAGAACTACTGTTTTTCAGTGAGGGTCTCCTCTCCGGGTTCGCCCTCGTGCCATGGACGGAAGCGGTGCCAACTACTTTTTAGGGGCGGAGGTGGAAGTTCAATCAGATCTAGGGCCCTTGAAGTCCAAAGTGGATTTGAGGACATTCGGGATCCTATCCAAATCATTTTCTAAAATCATTTGCCAATTTCACCCACTTTTCGCGTCTACATGTCGGGCAGATCTTGCCTCCCGTGTGCTTAACACGCGCCCGGGTGGGGTGGGAGGAGTCCATTTGACCCCTCCACCCGCCGAATTTTGCATAATTGTAGACAAGTAAATAGCGGATCGTTTAGTATCCAAAATTAAGATGTACCTTGTGAGGTCGCTGACCTATGGCGGGTCAAAGTCAGGCCACGAATTCTGCAAAGACCATACCTAGGGCATTGTTAAATCTCTTGCAACAACGGAGTGTTACACCAAGCCACAAACCTCTGTGATAGTTTCTTAGGCAACAAAACAATTGAAATAACAAATCGTAATTACCCAGGGTCAAGTATGAAGGTCAGATCAAACTCAAAACCAGCCTGCGTTATTATTCTAGAGCTGACTGTATAGGGTATTTTCTGGTGCTCATTTTTAATTTGTTGATAACAGGAACCACATTATGTATCTTACATGGGCTTTCTCAAGGCCAGAAGAGGTCACTGATGTGAAATGATTCAAGTTCAAATTTCATTTTAAGGACATGCTGCTTCGAGTAATCCTTGACGCCTTTCCAAATGCAGAAATAAAAGCCAGCTTGCATGAGTTTGGTCCCTATGACCTTCGAAAGGTCAAAAAGGTCACTGACCTTAAGTAAACACCAGTGACATTTTCCTCAGAACAGGGATCTAGGTTCACGTCGGTTGCATGAGAAGGTCTAGGGACACTTACGATACCAACCTGAGATTTGACCTTGTTGGACATTAGTTCACCTGAAGGTCATGACCTAGGAACCTAAAATTTTAGCAAAAGTGAGTTCACGTACTGGTTAACACACTCTGTTAGCTTGCTGTTTTTAGCTCTCTTACTTTTTGAAATCTCATAGGGGGTTAAATTTGCTCCCACTGAAGCGAATGCTATTCAAACGGCCACCCGGGCGCGTGTTAGCGCGCGCCTGGTTGGTTGAATACCATTCGCTCACAGAAACACCAAATTCACAGAGTGGGTTGGCCTTATGTAGACTCACCTGTGCCAAAAGTTGATGCTCCTAGGTCATAATCTTCGGATCGAACATGGTCAAACAAGATCAAACTTGACATTGGTGTCCAAAGTGTGACAAATCTCCTCATGCAGCCGCCTTGAACCCAGACCCGTGTTCCAAGCAAAATGCCACTGGTGTTAATTTATGGCTGGCGACCTTGTTTTACCTTTAGCAGATCATTATGATCACAATCCTACGGCATTGCTTAAATTTTGCAATTTGAATAAGCGTCAACGATGACGCTAGATGGTATGCCCGTAAAACATGTTGGTCTTGATCAAGTTAGGTCAGTGACGTACTCTGACATGTGACATACACTCGAGTGGACTTTGAATCTTTCTTGATAAAAGGCACCGCAACAGACTCCTTCCATGGACTTGGTCAAGGTCAGAGAAGGTCACTGGCCTAAAGAGGCCCAGAACAGTCTTTAGCTTTTTGGAACGTACCGCCTGGCGTTATCCTTGACGCTTATCAAACTGTCCAAAATCAAAACAATGCCGTAGTTGTTGGTCACCATGACTTCCAAAGGTCTAACAAGGTCAGTGGCCTATAATGAACACCAGTGATCTTTCGCTCAGAACAGGTATGTAAGTCTAATGTGGGTGCACGTGGAGGTGCGAGAGCACTTTGAACACCAATGTGGAGTTTGAACTTTTTTACCTTAAGTATCCCGGAGTTCGAGATCTAGGATTTTTGAAATTTTAACACAAGTGAGCCCATATACATCCACCTTTTAAATTTTGTGTTCCTAGTTCTCTTACTATTAAGATTTCAGAGGCCAAATTGTCTCCCCCGTGAACGAAGGGTTTTCAACCGATCACCTGGACTCATGCTAAGAAGTTGATGTAAAATGACTTCCGTGGTCCCTGGTATGCATATTTTCGAAATAAGGAGCAAAAACTACCGCATGCAGCAAGGTCCCGGATGAAAATGTAAATTGGTTTCGCTTTCGGTCTGACCTTCATGTCGGACCCTACGTCAATGGAATGTGTTGCAATGATAAATTCAATTGTTCTATCGCTTCAGAAAATATCTCAGAGATTATGGCTTCGTCGAACACTCTGTTGTCGCATCAGATTGAACAATTCCCTAGAAATTGCCCTCGCTGGCAGCTACTGACGGCCTTTGGCCCGTCATAGGTCAGTGACCTTGACAGGTACATCTGATTTTTTAAACCAAAGGTCTGTTCGTCACGCCGTTCAGAAATAATTCTTTGGAAATCTTCGGGGTGGGAGGGGGGGGGGGGGGGCGATCAAATTGACCCCACCTGGGCGCGTGATAAGCGTACTCCTTTATCTGTGGTAGACCGTCGTTATGATGGGCCTTCTGAAATTAAAGGGAATCGGAGCAGCAAGACGATGTGCTTGTCCCTAGGAAAGTGTAAAGGGGGTTGTTGCCCCCCTCCCCATCCCCTGGTGTCGCTGAGCATACTTCAGTGGCGGCGCCATAATAATATTCTGACTTGATAAATGAAATCGCCAGTAAGTATTCACGGACTACGTCTTTCAGCAGCGGGTATTCCAATCGTAGATATTTCAGAAGTGGCCTTTCCGGTATACTAAGGAAAAAGTTGAACTGTCCAGCGTCAGTGATTCCTGTCTCTAGAATTAAAAGATGCGATAAGATAAATGTGACTGAATCTGAGTTCCGGTGATTTTAGAAATTAGAAAGACGTTTTCTCTCGCTCAGTTCCTTAATCCATTTTGTGAAAATACGCTCCTGTCTTGATATACGTATATGCCTACACGAAAGACAACAATATTTGGCCGCCAGCTTTGCAACCGTTTCCAATCTCGGAAATTACCAGTCAAGTATCCCCATTGTTCAAGCAATGTATTCGCACATGGATTCGAATACCCATTCGCGTGTCCCTGGATTCGACTAAACATTACACAATTTGAAAATCGTGATTTGGATATTCAGTAATTACGGCATTCCACTGCGCGTCCAGCCATTTGACCTCCAGGTGACAGGTGACGCTGGTCTAAAACTACCTTAACCTTATAGACGTCCGTGCGTCACGACGTGCGTGAGCCAATACACTACCTTTATCTACTGGCGTGTGTTCAGTTAGCAGCAGTTCGATATTCAAACGCCTTACCAGATACCCAAGCTAAGGCATCCTCCGAATGCACTACTCTATTCTCACGTACTAACGCGTATCCAAAACTGATCTATCCGCACCGGAACACAATTAACATGTAATTCTTATTCTATTTTGACTGATTTGTATGGGCACATACTGTAAGAGCTCCTTTCAGCAGCGATATTACGGCTTAGCTTGATTCTATAGGCATGCATAATACCGATTTTTCTGCTGCGTGAGTTGCTCAACTAAATGGGTTGTGAAATTGAACAGCAGAGACTGCCAATGACACACATATTACCTGTGAGATTAAACGCGCAGAGGCCATTACTAACACGCATAGATTGTCTAGCAAAACGGCACACATAGAGACCGCTTCACAAGACCAGCAAGCAGAGAGAGAGAGGTGAGAGAGAGCACCTAGTAAAATACATGGACACAGAGACAGACAGCCTAGTCAGATGCACAGAAAGACCGCATTATAAAATCAACACATGCCCACCACCTAGTAAAATATAAACACACACACACATCACCCGGCCAGCCCGCTGTAGTAAGCACCGTATAACTGGACCACCTAACATACGAATAATATGCACGTTAATTGATACGATACACCAACCTATCCGCTTCTCTCCAGGCTAGCCCGCACGTGCACGGGAACAAATATAACGGCAACGGCCACCGCAACCAACGCTCCATACCCGAAGCGGTGAAACCGGCTTAGATAAAATGGCAAGGCCGACAGACTCCCCGCTCCAATAACCCGCTCAGCCACTACAAGTCAAGTCATTAACCAACTCCTGAAACCTGATTTACTCCCGGACTTTGCCCAATCGAACGCGCCTCCCCGGCGGTTAGATTTGACAAATTTGTTTAATACTTGTGGATTCAAAGTTATCTTTCTATGGAGGAAAGACTTCCAATTTCAAGTTAATGCAAGCAGCCTCTTTGGAAAATTAGAATGGAACGTACCTCACAGAAAACTAATTATTTTAATTTTAACTTAACTACTTTAACTTAAACTTTTGTCTGGACTGCCATGTACTTTTGAAAACTGCCACATATTGCAGTCAGTTGTTTTTTTAGCACAAACCACGCGCTATTATTTGGCAAACTTGTCAAACATTTGCAGACTGGCTTAACCTATGCCGGAATTAGCATTGCACAAACATCAGATAACTACAGGGTACTATTTGGAACAACATTAACATGATGACAATTATGTTGTCGCACTATTGACTAGTGTTAAGTACGCACTATTTGGAATACCCAGAGTTAAGATAATTGTTCCATAGGTATTAGACTCAGCATTCCATTCTTGCTTACATGCGCTGAGAGCCTCAGAGGAGCATTGGTAGGAGGCTCAAGCCAACATTTGGGGGCTAAGTCCCCCTGCCGAAAAAATATA